AAGCCTGTATCCCATGGAGAGAGCTGGCCCTGCAAATTACAGCTCCTCTGCCTGCAAGGGCTCATTATTGCTTATTGAGCTAGGGAGGTTTCTCTGCTTTCTATTTTGGGCCAAGCTCCCCTTGTATTTATTTACAATCAGTAGAGCAGCTGGTAGCCACTGGCGTTGAAGAAAATTGCTGTGAAAAGCAGGAAATTGGCTTCTCACCTTATGAGGGGAGCTGAATCTGCAGTCTGCCCCTACTCCCAGCCCCGTGGCTTGTCCTGGTCCCTGTCACCAGGTTTCAGGTCTCACAGGGGGGCCTGAAGTGACCTCAAGTTGCTGGCTGCAGGCAAGGTGGCAGCAAATCTGCTTCAGGTGGTCAGTGCTGCACCTCATCCCAGAACCTGCATTAGTAACCACAGTGTTCACTCACAAGTGTCTTTGAAAGGTGCCTCAAGGCTTTTAGAAGCCCAGTTATCATCATGGATTCGCTTTGGGAGGCTGGAGGTGTGGGGAAAGCCTCCCCAGAGGCCTGTGAGATGCACAGCCCCATGTTCTGTGTGGTTCTGGGCTCTCCTGTGCTACCAACCACCCACACCCAGCCAGGCATTGCTGCTGCTGGAATCACCACAGTTTCCAGGCCGGGAGATGAGAAAGCTGCTGCACTGGTGTGGCAGCCCCCAAAAACACCTGCAGGCTCTCAGTTTTGGGAATGGATCACTTGTCTGGCCTCTCTGTGCCAGGGGTGCTGAGCCCTCCAGCAAAGCCTGGCTCTGACAGCTCAGCGTGGCTCTGGCTGTCCCCAGTCAAAGCCAGTCCCACAGAAGAGGAAAACGGGTGGGTGCCTGTGATCCCCTGTGCCTGGCACTGTGTAACCACCAGGGCAGTGTCTCTAAGTGCTCTGACATATTAAAGTTCAGGCAGCAAAGGAAAGGATGACCTTTTGCATTTTGCCCAGAGCAGGCAAGGGGAATGTAATTATAATTTCATGTAATTCATCTCTTGACACTGTGTAACAGCTGAACTTCACTCAGTCAATGCAGGAATGAGGGAAGAAGGACAGGAGGAGGGGAGCACCCCAGTGCCCAGCTGGGACAGCCTCCCCTGGGCAGAGCCACCCTGTCCTGTGTGGCCCAGTAGCCACCATGAGGGTCCCCAGCCGAGCCTGGTGGCAGGTGGAGCCTCTTCCCTCACAGGAGGCTGCCAGGGCCATCAGCTCAAAGCTGCTGCCATCACAGGCCAGCGGCTAAAATAACTTCCCAGGGGAACATCTGCTAACCCTAACCCTAACCCTTCCCTTCCCTGTTTTTGGGTTGTGCTTTTGGGATCACACCATACCCAAAACCTCTCTCTGGCAGTGGGGGCAGGTGAGGTTTGTGCCCCTCCAAACCCCAGAGCTGAGGCTGGAGCAAACCACAGAAACCCAGTCCCAGTGGTTTTACCTTAAATAAACTTTTCTCATCTCCGAACCTGCTGTACCTGGAGCCCACACAGTGCCAGCCTCCTGTTAATTAGTTCCTTGTTAATTTGCTCTGCTGTCCCTGGGCTGGAGGACTTTCCTGAGGTGCACAGGGAATGGAGGATGGGCCAGCACACTCACAACCCCTCAGGGTGGGCTCCAAAGCACTCTGTGCCCCCGTGCATGGCCAGGACTGGCAGGTGGTGTCTGCAGGGTGCTTTATTAGCAGAATAATGTTTGCAGAAACATCATTACACCTATTTAAAAGCTGGTGCCACCTGAAATCTATTTCTCACCCCTGACTGATTAAATTCTGCTAGCTGGAGATTTTATCCCAGAGAAATCCTCCAGGAAGCTCTAATAGCAGAGTCAATCTTTATAACATTGGGCACAATAAAACAAGAGCCCTCATTTTGCCGGAGGTTGATAAAGCGTGGCTCCCTGTGCCTACCGTCCCCATTACCATCCCTGCACCCAACAGGAGTCATTAAATATTTATTTAACAGGTTTTCACTCCTGAATGGTGAAATAGAAACCAGCAATCATTAAATGGGTTTGTTAAGATAAACAGTTTGCAGGAGAGAGCACAGTGGTGCCCAGCCCAGGGGATGGGGCAGTGGGATGCAAGGCCTGGGGCAGGTTGCTGTTTGCTTCTCTGCTGCTCCAGGGGAGATCCCAAGGCAGCACTGGTTAAATGAACTGTGGGGTTTAATTACTGGATGGATGTGGGTGATGCAGAGCCCAGAGGAGCTGTGACATGGGCACCTGGCACTCAGCTCTTGCAGTCTGACAGCCATGGTTTGCAAGGCCTGTTTGCCACGGGAAAAAGCAGCAGGGATAATGGTTAGGGAGTTTTTGTCATCAAATTTATGGCACTCTGGACTCTCAAAGCCCAGAAAAATTCCCCAGATACCACAGTAGAAATCCCTTCATCAGCATCAGGCTGCTTGGGCAGCATCACTCCCCACAAAGGCTCCAGCAGTGAAAACAACCTCATCAGTATCAGCCTCCAGCTCATCTCCCACCTCACCCCGTGTGCCTCCTGCAGGTCTGTCATAATGGTCATCCAAAAGCCCTCAGTAAATGTCTTTTTCTCATTACAAATGACCCTGACCTCAGCTGGATGAGAGATTTGCCAGCGTTCCCCACCCTGTGCATGCTCCCGGCTCACCTTCCTGACGGCAGGGCAGGACTGATGGGCTCTCCAGTCCCTGCATTAAAAGGTCTTTCATGGTTTCACTCCCACTTTAACAAAGACCCTTCTGGGCTGCTCTCCCAGCTGTCCTGTACCAGCAGCCCTGGTGGCCAGCAGACTGGGTGGATGAAATGGGCTGTGCCACAGCCCTGGGGTTTGGCAGCTTTGGTGCTTTGTGGGAATTGGGTTGGCAGCAGGAGGTTGGGGTAGGGACACCCCACTCTTACTGGGCCACAGAAAAGCTGGCTGCTGGTGGGGTAGGGACACCAGGAACCAGCCCAAGGCTGCTCATACACCCTGAGCCCTTTTAAATGCAGACACAGAAATTTGTGTTTCCCACCTTGCTGCTGAGCTGATTTTCCTTTCCAAATCTATCCCGACACTTACAGCTTTTATCAGGAATTTTTCTTTATTTGAGCAGGCTAAAGGTCAGAGCACAGCAATTGAAACAACACGGCCCTCCCAGCCATGGATGGATATTATACTTACCCTGTTATTTTGTAACAGTAAGAAAGAAAGCATCTGAGGTATTTTTGAAGCACGGAGTTTCCTGCGTGGTGGAAGGGGAGGAATTCTTTTGGTCGATGCAGTTTAATTGTGCCACAAAACACCAGAAATCTGAGCTGCCATCCCTGGCCTCGCTGGGGAGGATACACCACCCCCTTCAGTGCCCTATAAACTTCTCTGCCCTGCTCGAAGCTCTCCAGTTCCTTCCTTGCTGCATTTTGGAAAACACTTTGCCAGTTACCCTTGATCTGCATCCAGCTGGGAGCCTGGGTGTCCCACAGAGGTGATCCAGCTCCCTGCAGGTGTTTGATCCCAGCTGTGGCCACCACAATTTGAGTGGCTGAGTCCCATCCAGGGGGGACTTTGCAGCTCCCTCTGAGCTGACCCAAATGTCTCTGTGTTGTAGGAGCCAGGTCCCCTTCTCCCAGCAAATCCTCCTTGCCTCCCCTGGCCCATGGAGACCCCAAAGTTTAGCCTCCAGCAGGACCCGCGGTGCTGGCACGAGGGATGAGCCTGCTGGAATCAAAGGGCACTCAGAATGCCACAGAGCATTTACATTCAAAAGTCTCCAAAAGGTTTAGGATTTATCTCCTTGCTGGGAGGGAGCCTTATTAGTGGCTTTTGGGTACACCGCTCCTGAATAATGAGGACAATCCTGTCTCAGGAAGATAAATCCCAATATAATGATGCCATTGTCTTTCCTTATTATAACTCCCCGTCAGCCCCTCATTTAACTGCTGGTTTACCCAAAGATTGTGACTGGCTGCTTTAGCACAGGAAGATAATACAATATTTTTTAATTGCCACCCCATCTAAAATTAGCCCTTTCTTCTTTGGCTAATGAGCCACAGAGCAGCCCTTTGGGGTTCGAGCAAGGCCAGCTCCAGCTCCTCATCCTCATGGCTGTGCTGGATCTGCTTCTCCACATCCTGCAGGACATCACCTGACCCCCCCAGAGCAGAGGCTGCTCTGCTCCAATCCCTCCTTTCCTCCACCTGCCCGCTTGCAAAGGAACAGGAATCTTGGGGAAAGGTTTCTTTGGTTTCACAAATTCTCCTACAATTATCACATGAAAGAGAGTGGCTGAGAGAAACAACCTGAGGACAGAAATACTGCCTGGAAATGAATTTGGGAAAATATATTTCTGCTGTGACAGGTATGGGGAGTGCCAGAGCTGGACTAAACAGGCAGGAGGCTTGTGGGTCATTACGAGTTCGACACAGTTACCAGGGGATGCAAAGGCAGGCGGAGATGGATGCATTGTAAGAAGGTTTTCTGGAGATGATTTGAGCAATTTCAACTCACTGCCATGGTTGGGATCGACTTGAAAGTTTCCTAATGAATTTCTTTGTCAGGAGGAAATTGGGCTGTTGAGCAGAGGAATGTGCAGCATAGAAAAGCAGAGTTTTTTCTGTTGAAAATCCACCGGTGAAAAATCCAACTACAGCTAAAATTGCTGAACCTCTTGGTGTGGAGGCTCTGGGGGTGTCCCTGTGCCCCCGTGTCTGAGGGCAGGGTTTTGCAGGAGCTGCCTTGCTGCAGGCACAGGCAGGATGAGGTCATGGTGAGGACCTGGCAGCTTCTTAGAAGGAGAAGTTTGTCCTTAGGATGCAGAAGCAGCCTGGAGGCTCCTCCTGCCTCTTTTCCCCCATAATGTGAAGCTCTATGAATATTGTAATGAATATAGTTATGCCCTGAAAAAAAAAAGAAAACTCATTTATTTATGAGGTTATTTGATTTCCTCTGAAATGCCTCATCTAGCAGCCCCCTCCATTAGAAACCCTCCGAAGCCATGCAAGAAAAATACAAGGCTTATTATTTAAATTAATAAAGCAGCTGCAAATTTTTGCTGCATTTTAAAATATTACTATCGAAAATATTCCTCCATGGATCATTTTCTTGTGGTTTTCTTCCTGAACATTCCTAATTATGGCTATAATTAATTTTAACGAGTCATCCACCATCAATTCCATCATAACTTGCAAGTGTCCTGCAGCTGACTTTAAAAAAAAAATAAATTCAAAGCTTTGCCCTCCTCCGGCTGCCTCTGTAATGAAACCTGGGATTACTTAAGGAATTGGCACTTGGCCCCAGCGATGCAAAATTGCCTGGTCCTCAGTCAGAGCTGCTGCTGTCCAGTCCATGATGGATGGCATCATTCAGAGCTTTTATAGGCCCAGCGAAAGAGGCCAATCTGTCCGAACTGATAAATCTCAATCTTCTGCAATATTTCATGGTTCTACCAGACATATGGAGGGAGCCAACGTGACACTTCATTTTCCCAGGAAAACAGCTCCTCCAAGGCCAATGGCCAACACCAAACTCTGACCTCTGGGGAGGACAGCGGGAAGGTCTGGGTGGAGGTTGGAAAAGTCTGGATGGAGATTGAGAACGAGGCAGGGAAGGTCTGGATGGAGGTTGGGAAGTTCTGAATGGAGGTTGGAAAAGAGGCTGGGAAAGTCTGGATGGAGGTTGGAAAGGTCTGGATGGAGGAGGTGGATGGAGAAAGGTGGATCAGGGGGTGCTTTGGAGTCTCATCTCCATCTCCTGCACCATCAGACCTCCCTACCAGAAGATTCCAGATGCTTGTGGACACCTAAGGGCATTGGGAGCCCTCAGGGGGCACCTCAGACTGAACTTCACCCTGTTGTTCTTGTGAGAACAAGGAAAAAATTGAGCTACCTATAAAAAAGAGAATCTCTAAGCAGGGCTGGCAGGTGGGGAAAAGAGCCAGGTGGGAAAAAGAACCAGGTCTCTCTTTAATTCCTCTATCAATGTATTCCTGGCTTTCCTCTCCCTGGAATTCCTTTGTCTGTGTAAATCCATCCAGAGCTGGGCCACAGGGCTGGGGTTGTGACAGCAGAATTTGGGGTGTGTTCACGTCTACTCCCACAGATCCAGGCTTGGGCTATTGCCACTGGATGGGAAAATGAATTTTTCCTGCTGGGCTGTTGCTGTGATCCTGTGTGACCCTTGTTAGATCCCCTGCCAGCCAAGCTGGGGCTGCCTTGAAAATGGTGAAAATACTGAAGTGAGGTCTGGTTTTATCTCCTGGTGCCGCCCTGCCGATTCCCAGGCTGTGTTTGCAGAACACCGTGCCCAGCCAAAACGTTCCTGGATGTTTCCAAGTGATGTGCTGAGGTTTCTCTGCACCCTGTGCCATCATCCTGGGGAATGCTGCTCTCTCCTCTTGGGCTGTGCCTCTGGTACAGGCACCAACAGTCCCTGAAGAACAAATACCTGAGATAACATCAGGAAATCAGGAGTAAAAGGGGGCCAGAGCCATAATTTCACTTGAAATGCTTGATTCCCACAGCCTTTGGTGCCTGCTCAGATGCCCATCCCAGTGGCAGCGTACCTGGCTCCCGATCCCAGGGAAGAGCGTGCTTCAGCGTCCAGAGCAAGGAAAGCAGGGAGGAAGAGCTTTAGAAGCATTCAATTGACTGCAAAGCCCCTGAGAACATGAAATACACTCTCTGCGTACACAGGGTTTAGTGATGATAGCACGAATCTGGGGAAAAAAGCATTTCCTCTTTACTGCAGCTTGAAAGGGTGAAATCGAGGCTGACCAGCAGCCACCGCTTTATCCTGCAATTTACTGCTCTCACTCCCAGCCTGCCCCCGAGAGCCCGGCTCCCTTTGTACCATTTTTCTATTAGTGGGTTTTATTTGTGCCCAGAGCTTTGTACCTGCAGAGCCAAACCTGCCTTGGCTCCCGCCTGGGCAATGCTCCAAGCCCTGCTGAGCCTGGAGAGCTGCAGGACCTGGCGGGGTGGTGGGACCAAGAATTCTGCCAGGGTACAGTGCCTGGAGCAAGGTGGAGCCATGGGGGCTTGGCATTGCCCAGTCAGACCAGGAATAGCTCAAGGAAAGCAAATGGATCCAGCCGTGCCTCAGTTTCCCTCCCCATCCTGATTCACACCCCCAGCAGGCACCACAGGTTGAGGAGAGGTGTGAGAGGGTCAGAGACCTCTTGTTCTGGCCTGGCCACCCAGAAGGGCCCCTGCCAGCCCAGGGGACTCTGGGGCAATCCTGATTTTCACACAAGCTCTGTTTCCCAGCGGGCTCTGATGAGATTTGCTGGAGGTGCCAGATCTAGCTATTGTTTTCCAGCTCCTGCCTGGCCTGGGGTCTTCTGCAGCTTCCTCTGGCCTCATTCCCAGCCCTCCCAGTCCCCAGAGAATAAACCCAGTTAAAGTTGCCCTGTGCTTGGCTGAAGACATTTAATCACTGTCTGGACATGATGGAAATATGAGCTACTCCTGTGCCAGTCAGGACACGCTCTTCTTGCACAGACGAAGATGAGCAAGAAGCCATCCGAGCATGAAATAGTTGTCAGGCTTCCAGAGGGTCACAAGATATATGGATTATGAAGTAGAGACTCCCACAGATCTCAGATTATCAAACTCAAAGACTGCAGAAGATTGCTCCCATTGCAGGAATGCTGTCCTGAATTCAGAGCTGGGCTGGAGCACCAGCCCAGGGGCTGCTGGAGCCCTCGGGGCTCTGCTCACAAACTTTGGGTTCACCCCAAATTCAGCCATCCCTGCACAGAACTTCAGCATCAGAATCAGCTGGTGCCTGTCTCCAGCTCAGGGGGACAGGCAGGTTTGGGGTGTGGCTCTGCCCTGGGGAGCAAAGGCCACCCCCAGGTTAGAGCAGTCAGATACCGGGGATGAATACTCAGTCTGGGATGAAACTGGACACTTTGGGAACCAGAATGAGCAGGACTGGCAGCGTTAGGGTCAGTGGGAGCCATCCCGTGGGTGTGGATCAAGTAGAACAGGCAGTCACCACGGGTAACCTGGTGGAGCAGGGGAATCCCTGGGTGCCTGAGAAGCATCCAGGGGATGCTTCTGCTCCTGGAAGGACTCTGCTGTGCTCCTGAACCCCTTCCCAGAGCCACGGAGCTAACGAGGAGAGGCCACCACATGTGTTGGTGCCCAGAGGTGAGGAGGCTCCTTGGGATTTCTCTCTGCCTGTGGCTCTGAGCTGCACCTCAGTGCCCCATCCCCGTTTCCCCCAGCTTTCTCCAGGCTATGGGAGCTGCAGCTGAGGGTCACTCCCTGTTCTGGTGTGCCCCTGGCCAGGAGAGCTGTGCCTCCCTGAGCCCCTTTCCCCAGAGGAGCCACTGACACAGGCGGTGCTGTGCGGTGCCAGGGCTGCAGGAGCAGCCCACGGGCTCGGGGACCCAGGAGGTCCTTCCAGGCCCAGGTCACACCCCGGGGTCACCCTCGGGCACTGCCCATTGCAGATTTCAGGACAACAGCACAAAGGCTGCCTGTGAGCCAAGGAGCCAACAGAGAGCTGCAGGCACCTCTCCCTCCCCGTGTTTCTGCTCTGCCCCTGCTCTCTCCTCATCCTTCCAGCCCCAGCCCCGAGGATTTCCCCGGTGTGTCCTTACAGATCCCGGGCACTCACTGAACAGGGAGCAGAGCCGTGTGCCACCCTCAGCTCGGTGCACCACTGCTCATTCTGCCTTTCACCACCGCCCACCAGCCATCCCTCCCCAAAGCCCAGGCTCAGCCCAATTTGAATTAATTGCAAGAGTCAGACGTCAGCTGCTTTTATGTAACGCTCCCGTGTAATTCCATCTCCTCGTTTCCGCTCCCCCACTAATTTATTCACTCCAGGCTTCTTTAAATCAGCCCAGCCTTTTTTTCTTCTTCTTTCTCTTTTTTTTTTTTTCTTTTCTTTCCACAAGGTCTCTTTGTAAATCGTGTTCCTAATCCAAGGACTTGGCATTCCCTAGGTAGCCAGGGCGAGCAGGAGCAAGCCCCAGGGGACTGGAACAGCGGGGCAAGCGCCTTCTCATGGGTTTTGCTGTGCTGAGGCTGCCCATGATTCCCTCTTTCCCTAATTACTTCTATTTCAGTGTTTTCTTCTACTGCTTCAGTGAAGAGACAGGCTAGACTTTTCAAACTTACAGCATTGACATATATATTTTCTTTATTCTTTCCACTGATAAACTGTGAAGATTTGAAGTACAGTTATTGTTCTCCAATACAAAAAGATGAAGAATTACCCTGTGCACTTATTGATCTCCAGTAGGTCCAATACTTAGAAAAAACATCCCTGTTGGAGGAGGGCTCCGTTCCCTCTGCCCAGCTGTGCCGAGAGGTGCTGGGATGTGTTACTGGCCCCACCGAGCCACCTGAGCACCCACATCTCTCTCATCTCTCACAGAAATGACTCTTCATTTAGCTCTTGTGTTGACAGGGCTCAAATTAAGAGGCAATTGAGGCAGCTCTCAGGGGGAGAGATGTTCACAAGTCCTTCTGAGCGGGTGGTGGGGCTTGTGGAGAGCCCAGCACCCCAGAACTCAGGGATAATCACCCTGGGCTTCATCTGCACACCAGGGTTAACCCAGCACCCCAACTCCTGCAGAACTCAGGGATAATCACTCCAGGCTTCATCTCCACACCAGGGTTAACCCCTCTCTACTTAATCCACCCCCACGTGCCAGCAAACATCCCGGGCAGAGTTAGGCAGGGACTATCCATCACCATGCTGGAAGAGTCTCAGAGTGGGCTTGGCAATACCTGGGCCCTGCGAGAAGAGCTATGGAGGCATTAGGACCGAAAAATCATCTTATTTGCTTATTGATTTCCAATAAAATCTAATAATTAGAAAAATAGCCCTGCCGACTTGTGTGTGCTGTGCATACAAAGGAAGGAGGCAAAATCCCTCGGGGGACGACGGCGCTTCCACAGCAGCCCTGCAATCCCTCCGGGCTGACAGACGAGTGGCCCTGCAGCTGGCATTTTTGTGTCCCGAGGGAGAGAGCATCAGTGCTGGGACATCCCTGGGGCCAGGGAAGGGCTGCTGTGAGGCAGGGATTGCCACAGACAGCAGCCAGCAGCACCCGAGTGCCAGCGGTGCCTCTGCAGACCCCTGTGTGACCTCGTCCCTGCCAGCACCACCCGCAGCCCCACTTTGCACGGCTGGGGAGATGCAGCCGAGGAGAAGCCGGTGCTGTGGCTCTGAGCCTGCAGGGCCAGGCTGGTCCTGCAGAGACAGGAGCGTCACCTCGGCCAGCGCCAGCACAGGGCCATGGTGATGCTGCTGAGCATCAGCTGCGCCTCCTGTGCAGATAAACAAAGCGTTTTTCTCTCTGCAGGTTCCTAATGCAGTGCCTTCTACCCTCTGTAAACAGCACACTGGAGGAGTGGCGTGACAGAAGCAGGTCTGGGGCTGATCTGAGCCCAGGCTGTGTGATGAAAGGCTCTGGGCCGGGGGCCCTGTCCTGCACGGGAGGCAGGAGCTGGGACAGCAGCAGCTCTGGAGTCAGAACACATTTGCTGCCCTTTCCTGTTCTGCTGCCCAGACTGAGCAAAACAGCCCCAAGGCGCTGATGTTCCAGCACTGGGCACAGGGAGGGCTGTCACCCACGGCTTTTCAGGGGACTGACAAAGTGATGGCGAGGGTTTTGCACATCCACCTTTGATGTTTGGCTGTTTTACCTTTGCTTCGTGGAACTTTGGAACATTCTCATGCCAAACACCTGAATGTTTGGTTTTTTTCTGCTTCCCAGCCTCCCCAATGCCTCCTCACAGCTGCTCTGCTGCACTTCCTCTGTTGTTGTAGTTGTTCCTCTTCATGTAAGCAAGAGCAAAAGCACTAATCCCTGGAGGGCATTGCCTTTGCCAGGGGTTTTGGGAATCTCCCAGAGCTGGCACCCCAGCCCTGGGTGCAGCATGTGTTAGCCCAGCCAGGGCAGGGCACCACCCTTGGCCTCCAGAAAGCCCCTGCCCTGTCTCATGAGACAAAGCACCACGGTGGGATAACAGAGGGGTTCCCAGTCCCTGGCTGCTGGCCATTCCCATGGTGGTCTCACATGGCAGGACAAGCCACTTCTCACTCAGCACGTGTCACATTCAGTCCCAGCCAGCCTCTCGAGGCTCTCCCTTGTCAGAGGAGTGAAGATCAGGGAAGGAGCTGGGGAGAGGCTGTACCCAGCAGCCAGGCATGCTGTGGGGCAGGAGCAGCCACTGGAGAGACAGGCTCTGCACACCAGGGGAGGGATCCCACTCCCATGTGGGGCTGGAACCATAACTCCATCCTGCCAAGGCTGCCCCATTAGCATTCTGCACCAGCCTGGCTTTCATAAGCTGCTCTGACTCCGTGAGATAAAAAAGTAATAACACTGCCCTCCATTATTTATTAGCTGCCTTTATGTCTCCCGGCAAAAGTCCTTCCTCCTCGCTGTGCTGAGCTGCTCTGAGATGTGATGCTGCTGTTCCACAGGCCCAGCACCCAGGGCTTCACCAGGCTCCAGGAAATCCATCTCCTGGCTCAGGAGTTGTATTCCAGAGATGACAGGCACTCATTCAGCTCCTGCCCTGCCTTGCTGGATGCCCAGGGTGGCCTCGTGCTCCTGGGACAATTCCCTGCACCTTGGCAGGAGGAAACGTGGCAATCAGGGTCTGCCTGGCCAGGGTCCCCACAAGGATACTTGCTTTTTGCCCACATTTCAGGGCTACTAAGTTCTTGAATTTTAAATTATTTTAAATTATTTATAATATATTTATAATCTTTATTATTTAAAATTATTTTGCCTCCAAACTAAAGTTACCACATCAAACAAAGCACGTGCTCATTGTTCAAGTTGAGCTTCAGGGGTGTCTCTGTTCTTTGGGGTCCTGGGGATGATTTTTTGCTAGATGGGGTCCCTGGTGTCATGGCCAATCTGCTCTGGGTATTTTCTGCACCTTGGAGCTGTGCTCTGCCCTGTGAGGCCTGCTCACCCGTGATTGTGTTGACTGTATTGACTGAATTAATTACAGCTGAGCTTCAATATTGAAATTACTCAGACCTCCGGACAGCCAAGCTGAATCAATTAGTTTATTAGTGAGAGCTAAAGCCAGCTGAGCAGCAGAGGGACACTGCACCCTGGGAAAGGAGGCAGAGCAGCTCTCTTTCCTCAGAAATTGCCCCATGCTGCACATTTAAAGCAATCCCTGGGGTTTGACCTACACCAGATCGTTTCTTTAGCCCTGGTTCCCCAGACCTGGTGATGATTTAATCTGAAGTTTTCCAAGGCTGAGCTGGCTCCTTGGGCAGCTCTGCAGGAGCACACGGCATCCCCACGTTCTGCAGGGGACGAGAAATGTGCTGGGGGGACAGGAAACTCAGAGGCTGTGACTCACATATGTGATATTTGTAAGGCCCAAATATGGATGTGGATAACAGCAACAGAAATTTGTCAGCAGCTAATACAAAGATGTAGGATTGGGGTTAAAGGATGAGTATGTGCTGTTGGCATGCTTCATCAAGCACCCTGGGATTTCCATCAGGGAACGACTCCCCAGCGTGTGTGTGTTCATTTGCTCAGTGCAGCGTGCCCTGGCCGTGACACTGGGAATTAAGTGACTCTTTCCAACTCTCTCCAGCTCCAGGTGTATCTCTGCCAGGAGGCTCCAGGTATGATTTTGGCTCTGCCTGGTGCACAGCCCATCCCATCCCAGCTTTCAATTCCTCCACCTTTCACCGTCACTGCTCTGGCCACAGAAACAGAGGTGCTGTTGCACATCCAGGAGTCCAGCTGGAGATTTCCTGGATTTTTCTGGGGAAGCAGCTGGAGGAACAACCTGCTGGGGCGTAGCTGGCTTCTCACAGGTGGCAGGGGGTGGCAGTGCCATAGCAATGGTCACCTAAGAAACAGAGAGGTACAGACGTGCCAGAGCAGCCGTGTTTCTCTTTTCCTGAGCAGGCTGGCTCACTTTGGCCTCCTGCCCTGGTGAGGAAACCCAGAGCAGAGCCCGAATGGAGCCCCTGCTCCAGGTCCTGTCCTTGTCACAAGCCACCCCAGAGCAGAGGGCCACCATGGCCCATCAGGTGTCTCCTGTAGGTGTAGAAGAGGCCCGGGACCAAATGGAATGGGCTGGGACTGAGGGAATCAATCCCGAAATATAGAAGGTCCCACTGAGATCAGGACTTCAGCGCCTTTACAAGCTCAGCCTCCTCTTTGGACTAAAATGCTTCTTTCCTCCTCCTGAAACTTCCAGGAGCAGAAACTTCCCAACCTCCTAAGCTGTCAACATGTCTTGCTTAAATAAGATCTTCACAGGGATGCTCTTGGATCCTTGCAGTTTTATTTATTTAGTTGGTTTAGTTTAAGATTAATCATAAATGGGGAAAGTGCCAGAGACATACAAAAGAGGTTCTAAATAATTCTGAGTGATTGAGAGCACCGTGATTAATGGGATCTGCCGATGCCATTCGGGTGGAAGCAGCCTTCCAAAAAATAGATTTATGTTAAATGGAAAAATACAATAATGTCATTCACAACGGGAGAAAACACGCGGCAGCAAAACCTGCCCTGAACGGCCGTCACACACAATTCAGCCTCACAATGAACCAAACTGAGCTCCTCCATGCTCCCTGTGTCCTGATTCAAAATCCATTCATTAGATTTGATTATCTTCAGCCCTCCCCAAGTGTAATATATTCCTTCTTACAGAATTCACCGTGCTTCATATCAGGCATGGTTTAATATTTCATACAGTTCATTA